TACACCCGCCGTTCTGCTGTCGTCTTCTAATTTCTCACCTTATCTTCAATGTCTATCTATTCGACTTACTATAGCTACTCAGAGCGTCATTGTTGTTGTTTCTAACCATAGCCCTTCCTGTGCTGTCGACAGTTTCCGAGCTTTTATCAATTACTTGGAGGAATTTAGTGAAAAATGACTCATACGCTAATTTTGGGAGACTTTAATTTTCCCGACATTAACTGGGGGCAGCTCTCGCTTTCCACTATGAGAACAGCCAAGTCTGGAATGGGACGCTTCTTGACAACTTCGCAAAATCACACAATTTTGAGCAACATGTCAAGTTTCCGACAGATCGTAAACACACTCTCGACCTCGTCTTTTCAAACAACTCTACTTTACTTGCTGATGTAAAAGTCAAGACTCCCTTCTCCACTTCGGACCGTCCGGATGTGTCCATTTTCTTCTCGATTGTTGTGGATCGACTAAACCGAACTAGCTCCAAAATGATCAAAGATTTTCGCCCGTGGAGATTCACGACAGTATCTGCGAACAATTGTCATGTGTTGACTGGCGGCGCGTTTTTGATTCTCTAGAAACATCTAATCAATGTATGGAACGTTTGTGATTACTGCCTTAACTTGATAAGAATATTCGTACCATCTTCCAACAAAACTCGGAACTCAAAGAAAAAGCCGCGGCAGGTTTCGCTCTTAAAAAAACAAGTGATAAGATTGTATCATAACGGACGAGCATTTGATGATCCGAATTACTTGAAGGCAGTCAAATCCTTAAAAAAGAAATTGGAAAAACTTTAAGATAAATATGAGACCGAAATAGCCCTATCCAGAAATCGTAAAAGATTTTGGAAGTACTGCTCCATAGGACTTGAGGATTCTTCACGTATAGGCCCAATTATTGACCACAACAGTGAAGAGTGTTGTTCCGACGCTGATAAGGCTGAGGTGCTCGCGATGTACTTCAAAACTTTTTATAAGCGGAAGTTGACAGAAACGGTGCACCAGTCTGGTGAGCACGGAGCAACATTTGATTGGATAGACATTACTTCTGAAGACGTTTTTCGAGCTCTGAAGTCCTTACCTTTGCGTTCATCTACTTCACCCGATAATTTGTCGTACATTTTCCTCCGTAAAGCGGCTCTAGGGCTCACCTCACCTTTAACTTATTATTTAACAGAATCCTTTTGAAAGGTGATGTCCAGAAATCTGGCGTCTTGGCTGGGTGAAACCCATACACAAGAAAGGTTCCAAAAGTGATTTTAGAAATTACAGACCCATTTGCCTGACATCCTGTGTTAGTAAATTGATGGAAAGAATAGTTTGCTCCCGGATCAAGGAATATCTCTCCAAGAATCGCCTCATATCTTTATGCCAGCATGGATTCCTTCCTAATAAATCCGCTTTCAGTGCTCTGGTATTCCTTTGTGGCAGAAAACACTCGATAGAAAGGAAAAGGTTTTCGTAGCTTACATCGATTTTAAGAAAGCCTTTGATTCAATCCCGTTGGATCTTTTGTTCTTCAAATTGAAAACGTTCGGAATTTCGGGTTCCCTGCTGAACCTTCTTATTTCCTTCTCAAGTCAGAGAAAGCAAACAACTGTCATAATCAACGACGCCCTTTCAAAACCGTACGAAACATTTAGTGGAGTGCCTCAGGGACGGTAGTAAAGTCCCCTAAACAGCCAGTCTATAGCTGGCCAATAGGTCACGTTGATCTCGCCTTCGTCGGCACTCAAAAAGCATGGGGAAAGGGCGGAAATTCACGCTGACCTCCCGCAGAGGGCGAGGTCTATACCACATGTTAAGTGGCAACGTATTAGGTGGCACCTAGCCTAGGCGGCGAACCCGGCAGAGAAAGGGGAAAGTGCGTGGAGATTGCAGAGACGCAGAGGGTCATGTAGAGGGCGACTAAAATGTACCCCTGAGTACATTTTAGTCGCCGTCTATCTGCGTCTCTTCAATCCCCATGCACTTTCCCCTTTCTCTGCACGTCATTGGTCGCATTGAGCGTCTCTGCGTCCTTACCAAACCTATTGATTATAATTATAGGCAGAGCCAACACGAGTAAGAGAACACGCTTTCACATTGTCTTTCCCCAAAATTTTACGTTTACTCCCTCTTTCAATCTATTGGTCCTAAACACATTGGCGACAATGTCGCCCGATGCCGGGCGACACCCCTTGAATTTTATTCCTTTGCGCATATTCCAAATTTTGAGCGGTGCTATATTAACCCGGAATACGTTGTCAAACTTGTAATGGATCACGTTCTTTGAACATACTCTGTCTGTTGCTCTTCCTTTACCGTCTAATGACTTGAATCGTACTTCATAGCACTAGTGGAGTAACCATTTACGTATTTTTGTTGTTTCCGTGACGGCTGTGGATTAGGATGGTCTTTCAAGAGACAGTCAGGTAGAAGTGAGAATGATGTGTTGAAGAAGGCAGAAATGCAAAGTTTGGTGGTAGACATTATAAGCTGAGATTTTAGATTCTGGTCTTATTCCATATCCAAGGAAGTTAGGTCAAAAATGAATAACAGCGCCAATCGGCGCTGCTATTCATTTTTCACCCAATTTTGGCCCTTTTTCGGGAGCACCTTTTCTTTTAGTCTCTTGAATGTTTGCCTCTTGGTTTTTGCACTGTTATAAGTTCAACCCGAGAAATGAATATTAGATTACCAATTGGCGCCGCACGCCTTGCGCGCACAACACAGTTCTAAGGCAATGTGTAAGATTCACAGATTTAGCACGATACTCGACCTGGCCTTCAAGGTAGATTCTATCTGCTTCCCTTCCAGTCTGCGTCCCTTATTTTCTCACCCGAGAAATTTTCTTGATGTTGGCTCCTAGAGATGATTCTTCCTATGTTCGCTACACTTACCTGTTGTTTAGTTGCTCCCTTATCGCCGTTATCTCTAATTTTGATATCCCAATGCAATTAGTTATCAAACTAACAATACAGTAAATGTCCCCACCTACAAAGATTCCATCGTCACATTACCTAGAGATGGTGACCTCGAACTGCTTCCCATATCTGGTAAGCAGTCATTTGAACACTGTAGTAAGGAATTCTTCCTGCACTGTTTGACATGCTATCCCTGCTGAGAGTGCCCTTGAGTGCTGGCGAACGCTTCACATAGGCGTCTGCCAAACATGATGCAGTAACGATGTCCCAAACTTCCTAGCTATGTTGCCAAGAGAAACAAAAAACGGTGAGCAAAGAGTAGGTCGATCGACGACGCGCTCTGAACTCGCACCGCTGCGTATTTCCCCTTTATAACTCCTCTTAAAAAGTTGGTTGACAGATATGGAAAAGCAGTTTTGAGCGCAACGTCTTAGCGCGATTGCAATGACATACTCCCAAGACATAAGCATTCCAAGCCGACCTGTTTTACACCTTTCCTAAATATTTCAGCGATCCATTCTTAGGCTTCAAAATGTGATCACAGGAAATGAAGCGGTAGTCTGCGGAGCGGAAGAGCTGTCATCCACGATTTTGGTCGACATGTAGAGATGTGGTAGTGCCCGCCACCTATCTCGAGAAGAAGTGTGACTCAACTCATAATTAGTACAATATTCAGAGCTTTGCTAGTCATGAGTGGGAGTGGCGCAGCCACCTGACATGCGTGAAAAGCTGGAATGTGTGGGTTGCTCATAAAGTATCGTAACGTGCAAATGTGGCGTGCTTACCGCAGTTGGATGGGTATGGTTCACTAGGACAGAAAGCGACTTTTTCGCGTTTCGCAGCGCGAAACATTTTTCGCTGCGGGAACCTCGGGTCCACTGATTTTTCGCTGCGGGAACCTCGGGTCCACTGATGATCAGCGGTGGACCTGAGGTTCCCGCAGCGAAAAATGTTCGCGCTGCGAAACGCGGAAAATTCACTTCTGTCACGGAGCTGATCAACTTAGTATATCGCTTTTGATGTTTTACATGTGCTATTCTCTATGCTCGCCGAAAATTGTCACCTTGTCTTCTTGTTATTGCAATCCCCAAATATCAAAAAAGGAGTTTTTTTAGGGCACTTGCACTGATTCTTTTGCTTTGCTCTTCACTTTCGGTCGAATTTCCACCTCCACTTTCATATGCAAGCGCAATGTATTGTACCTATCCATTTAACCTTTGATAATATATCCTTCTTTCTATTCCAGCTAGGGGGCATCATGTTCTGCAATTTTGATGCAGTTTTTACAGAATGCTAGGGTAACTTCGAGCCAGAGGAGTGTACCCAATCTACAGGGGCGGGGGGTCAGGCCATTGACTTGCGTGAAAAGCTAGAATGTTTGAGTGCACACTAGCTCGCCAAGAAACTGCATTATGATGCTGGAATAAACCCTTTTTTTCTACCATTTTATAGGGGAACTCAGATCTGAAATTGAAAGGGGCAACTTGTCGCAGCGTGCGCTCATGGGGTCAACGACCCTTAGTCATGGTTTTTTAACCCCATAGTTTCATTTTTATCTCCCTGGAGTGAATTAGGGCATCCCGATGGAGCAATGATTTTGCACTCCTGCTGACTCGGGCATGTTGCCAACTCCTTATTATAGGGCGCCATTCGCTGCGGGACGCACCGTTTCCAGTCACTGTGATTCCTTTAAATTTGAATCGATTGCGTTTCAGAGGCCGACTTAGTTCCAGAGGCCGACTTCAACACAATCACAACCACACCTACAACGGTTTCTTTCCCTAGAACATTATCATACTCCTTTTTTCCGTCTCCAGTATTGGAATCCTTGTCATAAGAAAAGTCTTTCGACAAGAAAACATTGTAAACACTGGAAGAATCATGAAGAAAAAACTGTCACCTTTTTTTGCTTCTTTAGGCACTGTTCATCGTCACTGTCAATGGCAGCACTGCTGCTAGATTTGTCATTATATTCGCTTTCGCATTCCTTGTGCATCAGATGATGATCCATTCTTTGAGGCTCGCCATGTATACCGCTCAATACACCACTGCGATTAGCATTTTTTGTTCAATCGAGAGGCACTTCACACAGAAATTACAGAATATGTTGGCGAATAACTGGGCAATTGAAAGGCATGTCGCAGCAGCTCAACTGAAACAAACCGAGACAAACTCAAATATGTTTGCATAAGCATAAATAAGAAAAAAAAACAGAGAAAAGTGGTCCTAGTTTCTTACGTTGGCGTAGCGCAAATATGTCAAAAAAAGATGCTTCCGAAGCATTACCAGAGTAAGGTAGGTGGTATGCAGCCATGATGAAAAAAATTGGGTACAAACCATAACCATTTGCTTTCCTTCAGTTGTCTCGCTTGGTTTTCACTGCCACTATCGAGTGACGTCCCATCCCTCGCTCTACGGATCTGCTTACGCTGGAACTTGCTTTGCTGAGATTGTATACATAGAATGCAGCAAACAAAGACTCACAGTGTAGAGTTGGACTTTCGACTGTTTTGGTTTTGCTCCTCGCTTTGTTAACTCCGGCCGTGCTGCTATTCCAGTTGTAGTTATCTGTCCAATTTTTGAAGCCTTGTCTACTAAAGCTCCAATTGTAACCAGCACTTCTTTCGCCTGTTCGGAATCCGTATTGACAAGAGTATTCATTCTTGATTGAAGTACAGAAATTTTCTGAAATGCATACGTCAACTTCACCCCAATGTGGACAGAAGATCTATAGAGGTGCTCACCATGTTGATAGAACTCCGCAACTGACTTCTTTCTTCCCTTCGCTCTTGAGGGCCTTTGACTTCAACAAGAGTCGACGTCGAAACTGTTTGAAGACCTTCATCAAGTCTCGCTTCCTCGTGAGGTTGCGACTCCGGAGTAGTTTCAAGAGTTCGCTTGTTTGTGAGTTGGTTGAACAGCATGATTGCGTGCCTATCCACGCAGCTTATTGCGGCACGGTTGTCCTTGCAAGAACAGGACCAAGCATAGAGGCATATCCCGCACAAGGGACAGTGAACATTCGCAGTCGCGAATACGCTGCACTTTGAATACTTCTGTCAACCTCTTCGAATACACTTCCCATTTTTCAGGCTCCAACTGTTTTATCCTGTCAGAATGGCTACGGAACTTCTTCAAAGCTATTCGATGACAAATAGCGCTTTGTTGGCTGCGATAAGAAGAGTTAGCTGAGCGTCGATAAGCCTTAACAACACATTATCTGTCTTTTGCGTTAGAAACTAATGCTTCGGAATTCCCTTCAGCTGATCTGATTGCGACAAATCCTGGACAGCTCGTATTAGGAGATCGACTAGACAGTCGGCACGGTTATTTGCGTTTCTATGGAAAAACTCTGACTTTAGACGGAGGTGCCAGCGCTCACTTATCATAGTCGTATCCATAATTGCATCTGGATTGAAAAATGATCCCCACGTAAGGGTCCTGCCTTAAATTGATGTTTCAATTGAATGAGGAGCACAATTCATGATGGGTCAAACTCGCCTAAGTAATTATGTCTCAAGTAGTCTTCCATTTGTTCCTGACCCTCCGTCCGCAGGTATGCAAGGAGTTCGGCAAAATGTTGTTGAAACGACGACAGTTCCCTTATGACCAAAAGGTCCTTCAACATCTTCTTCACTCTAGTTCTTACTCGAAGCTGAAACCTCATTCTAGACTTGATAAAAAAGATTGCATAATGGACTAACTTCAACATATTTGTTTGCGCTCCTTTCCCATGTCTTTCCAATATGCCATCGACAATAATGCAATTTCGCGCGTGAGTTCGGGAACACAGAATGAAATCCATTGTAAAAAGAAGGCCTCATTAATCACTAACAGCGCAGGATTTAATTCCGGATAGACTTTTTCAACCTCGAGGTAGTAGCTTCGCCACATCTGATGAAGTCATCGTTCCGCTCAGTAAGAATGCTTGAATAATGTTAAGGTGAATGCAGTTGAATTTCTTGAAAACCATTGCAATTCATCGACCTGCTGGGAGACCAACGTCTCGTTCATTCAATACCATGAGAGTTGCCAATTTGAGGTTATAACGAGTTGCATTATGGGCATCATCAATCGAAACTCCGCGGTTCGAAAAATCCCTCAGCCATTTGACTTGTTCAGGAGTGATTATTACTGAAACAATAGGTTCCGCTTGAGGCACTTTGATCCTTTGAGCAAATCTTACACATGCAGAAGTCTTTCCCGTCGGGCTCTCAGGCATCTCAAAGGACCGAATTCCATCGTTGGGATTGTTTTCCTCCTCTTCGTATTTTCAATGATTGCATGTCGTCCTTATGGACGATAACCCGGTCGCAATCCATATTTATTTACGACACTCCAAAGATCGCTTTTGTTACAAACCCCAATCTTGACGTCGGGTAATCCTTAATGAGTCGTTTTATAATGTAGTCGTGGGAAATTTCTAAACACTTTGCATGAAGGCTTATGTTGAGCTAAGACTAGGATAGTACGTACCTTCCAGTAATCCTTTTAGAAAACTTTGTTGAGATGGCGTTAAGCGTAAGAAGCAACATCGACTTTGTGACCAATATGGCCAAAACAACCTTTTACATTCACGCGTCCATCGTCTTCCAGTTTTACGTCCACAAAACATGAGCAATGTATCACATACCTTTTCGAGTGTGTGGCCTGAGTTTCGGTACTTTTTTTGTATTTCCTAGCTCTATTGCATCTAAGTTAGTTATTTCAGTGATGTATCGCGCAAGGTAGCAAGTGTGTTGATACCTCAATCTACAGTGCCGATTTCACACTGCTACGCGTATAAAATGTTGTTCGTCTCTCTTGTTGCCGCTCTTCGAGCCATATCTATAGTATTATTTCTCGTTATGTTTTGTTGGAGTTTAGTTGAAATTCTATTGAAACTTGTGGGTTGTCCCAGAATCCCTCGACGATCATTCTTCACATTCAATTCCCTCCCAGTCAGACAAGTGTCACTGCGAAATGTTGATATGTTAAGGAATACATCAGGAACTATAGCTAGGAGTTTCGGAAGATCATACGAGCAAAAGGATAACTAAATAGTTGCCCAAATAGCTCAATGACTGAATTGAGCGATCAAATTTCACGAGCATCAAAAGGAGTATCTTGCAAGGAGCGCAGCTAAGATCAGTGCTGCGTTTGACTCTCTAAATCCCCATGCTTTTACATCGCATCATATACCATTCAAAAGAGAATTGTCTGCTCTACAAAATGCTATGTTCCTCTTCCACCTCTGTTCCAGGGTTTTCAAATTTTAGGCCTGCGAAATGGGAGGTCCAGCCGACAAAAATTGACCAAACCGACAACTAGCTCTAACTTTATTTTCCCTTGGGAGAAATCAATCAATGATGTACCCTCTACTTACTCATGACCTCTTCTGAACATTCCACTCTTAGGTTGCCGAAAAAGCTTTGCCGTGTTTCTTTTCGAATTGGCTGACCGATAAGCCATAGCAATTTTCAAATTGAAATTGTTCCTCGTAAACGCCATTGTTTCATATCAAGTGGTGTTCCTTTTGTGAGCACTTCTTCTGCTCTATTCGCTCATTTGTTTTGTTTTATGTTTGTTGGGAATTAGTTCGAATTTTAGGTGTTTAGGAATAAGGTGCTTTATCCACGAAAGTGACCGCATTTCTTTGAAAAAATTATCCCTGAGAAGATGAGAAAATCAACCAGGCGTACATTCCTAACTTAGTCATGACTTGTTCTTAAATTCTACTAGTTTTTCAATGTCTCGGCTGTAAAAAAATTTCGACCTAGATCTCAGGTAATGGTGCTCGACCGTCGAGTTCTGGTTGAAAAACCAGGTCTGGAAATGGAACGACGCGACTTGTTGGGAAACCTAATAGTGTAATGTTAGAAGAGGTCATGTATAAGTAGAGGGTACATCATTGATTGATTTCTCCCAAGGGAAGATAAAGTTAGAGATAGTTGTCGGTTTGGTCAATTTTTGTCGGCTGGACCTCCCATTTCGCAGGCCTAAAATTTGAAAACCCTGGAACATAGGTGGAAGGGGAACATAGCATCTTGTAGAGCAGACAATTCTCTTTCGAATGGTATATAACGATGTAAAAGCATGGGGATTTAGATGAAAATTTTTTGGATGAAAAAAAGCGACACTAAGACAACCTAATATTAGATTAGCCAGAGATTTACCTTGAAGAACTCGAAAATTTGCTGGTCAAAATAACAACAGAAAATCTTCTAACAATCTAATTTTGCGATGAACTTAAACAAAGATTTCCCCGCTGCTGATTGCTTCATTCAGCGAGCAAGTACTTCCTTGTATTAAATATAGGCATGATTATTGCTTGCTTCCTGCAAGCATTACGAATTCACATTACTCCCATCATGACCAATCGCTCCAATCGCGCGATGGGCGCGATCACTCCCGTTGTGGCTGGCGCGCCCCCCTCGATCGATACGTTGACTGCGGAGCTGCGCTCCCTGCCACAACGGGAGTGATCGCGCCCATCGCGCGATTGGAGCGATTTGGTCATGATGGGAGTAATGTGAATCGCTCCAATCGCAGAGTCTGACATCGGCCAATCTCCCCAACTGTGGATACCAGTTGCAATGCAATATTTATTGTATTGGATGTTCCTTTTGTCGCATATTTAAGCCTGCACACAGAATTCACGATGAAAAAGCAACCCATTTCAAATTAAGTAGGGATGGTGAGTGGTACACGAAAGAAGGAAAAACCATGAGAAACGGCCCAGAACCCGAGAAATGGGACCCCTTCCTTGCCCGTTGATTTGAGCATTGATGCGACTCTCATCGCTGTGCCCTCTTCAACACTACGCTCTCTCACCTATCTAATCACTCGCCACGTATAGACCTGCGGCGAGTGATCAGATGATCGGTGGGCGTGCACTGACCAGCCGCGGCGGGATTAAACCTTAATAGGTCAACGAGGTCAACTCCTCCTGTGCAAATTGTGCTTCAGTTCGCACACTTAGGAGCTCCGCGGGTCCCTCAACCAGGTGAATTCTTCCTAATTCGATTTTCCCTCTGATCGTGAATTCGTCCTTTAATATTGCGTTCAAGTTTTCTTAATTATGGTTGGTTGGCAAGACATTTAATGTTGCCTTTATTTTCTACCTGTAGGAATTGTGTAATGTGCGATACAGTCGATATCCGAGGGTTGGGGGTGGGTGTGTCACCGGAAGTGACGTGTACTTGATAGAAGTTGCGTGGATAAGCTGCTTCCAACATATATCACACAGCTTATCCACGCAACTTCTATCAAGTGCACGTCACTTCCGGTGACACACCCACCCCAACTTTCGGATATCGACTATATGATCAGCAGAAATAAAACAGTTCGCTCACATTTGTGAATAAGTCTATTGGCTTCGATAGCCAATATTTTTCATGTGAAAAAATCTCTGGTTCTATCTTCGATAAAATATAGTTAACTGATCGATAGAAAACAGCTACATCAGGCTGCCTCCAACTAAACGGTAAATACTGTCACGTAATGTAATAGCTCACAATCTCAAGTACGAAGCCTAAAAATCTGCAAAATGCAAAAAAATATAACATAGCATCCAAATCTTTGTTTAAGATGCTATAAATAACAATCATGGGATCGAACGTGACCAAATCATTTGAAATAAGTTTGGTGGGGATTGATTAAGACTCCAAACCTTATTCTGCACATCATATTTGTAGTGATGTACTCACAAATGAGCAATTCTTCAAACTGCAGTACGCAACCCATAGAAGAATTGTGCGCGCGACAGTCAATTATGCGTACGGCGGCTACGAAATTACGGTATCCCCGGCTTGCCCCGATCGGCAGGCGATAGGGGAGATATCCCCGGCTATCGGTGGGCGTGGCCTCTCCCCGAGAACTGTCGGGGGGAGCATAGCATACCGGGACGGGGACCCCTCCCCTGTTGGGGGAGCATAGCATACGGCCCCAGATCCTGTGATCGCAATTTCTGATTCACAAAATGACAAGAGTACAATAGTTCACGTCTCTTTCTTTTCGCTCTGTGAACAGGCTAGGCCAGAACTGTGATTTTTTTAAATGACAGAGCAAAGTTGTCCATCGCTGATTAAGATTAAGAGCCTTACACTACATTTTACCCAAGCTAATGACAAAGAAACCGTAAAAATACCTGAGAAGCGAAACTGAGCTCTCGGGCCTCTTTTTTCTTGCAACAGGCTTGGCGTCATACTGCTCGATGTTCCGTGCTGCACGGTTCTCAGCTTTTCCCAATTTTTTCTCGTCCAATGACTAAAACGAGGTTGAAAATCAAGAAGTGTAAACGTTATGAAGAAAAGGAATCACATTGAACCTAGAAAACACTAAAAAGTACCTAAAAGTATACATAGAGGGCGACAAGCTGATAATCTCACCGTTGGCACAGCCCTAACCTTCCATGTATCTCCATTTCAGCGGAACTGTTGTTCTCCGCAGCATATCCACAACCTGATCCAATCTCGGTAGTCACTTCGTGTTTCTTAACATTGGGCGAGTTCCTGCACAAGCTTAAAAGAAGCATTAGGCTGAACTCGGTATCAAAAAGAGTTCAAGTCAAAACTCAAAAAAATGGCCAAAGACTAACTCTCCATGAAGCACGTTCGATTGAGTTCCTCATTACATAGCTCTTTGACATTGCTCTAAAATCAACTGGTATGAGATCTGGAACAGGCTGAGAATAGAAAACGGTTTTTCTACAGAAAAGATTGATAAAAATGCACATTACCTGGATATGGTACCCAACTGCTTTCACGACGTCTTCAAAGGGCAGTTCATCTACATTTTCCTTGAGAATAGCTGAAATGATTGAAAATTCCGAAAAAGCTGTGCC